CAGGAGGAGGAACAAAAGCGAGGAGCAGACACTTGTCATGTGTGTGAGAGCACGAGGAGATCACGGTGGGGGAGTCCAGGAATGTCACCTGATATAACCCAGGTCTAAACCTGAACTCAACCAGGACTACACCAGGACTACACCAGGACTACACCAGGACTACACCAGGACTACACCAGGACTAAACCAGGACTAATCCAAGTCTCCGTCAGGTCTGAAAGCAGCAGCACATTGTCTCCTGCAGTTCTGTGGATGTCCCTCGCTTTCATTGTGTTTTTTTTTTTTCAGCGGCCATTACTCCCGTCGCCATGGAAACTGGAGCTGCAGCATCGCTCCGTCCCCCCTCCTCCTCCTCCCCCCTCCCTCCCCCTTTCCCGTGTCTGATCCTATGTTTAGCCTCCCCTCCTCACAGCTACGAGGTCTCCGGTTCTATTCCCGGACACTCCATTTTTCCTCCATTCATCTTAATAAAACACATAGAACAGACTAATGATGATCCATAAACACAAGTCCAGACCCAGACCCGGACTAAGACCTGGACCCAGACCCTGGACCCAGACCTGGACTCAGACCCGGACTCAGACCTGGACTCAGACCTGGACTCAGACCTGAACGCAGATCTGGACTCAGATCTGGACTCAGATCTGGAGCAGTGATCCGGAAAGGTTTAGCCCCAGAGGCATTGATCAAAGTGTCAAATGTGTCACAAGATTTACCTCGAGGGACAAAGCAAAGCATTCAACTAGAACTAAAACAGGACTAAAGCAGGACTAAAGCAGGACTAAACCAGGACTAAAACAGGACTAAAACAGGACTAAAGCAGGACTAAAACAGGACTAAACAGGACTAAACAGACAAAAGGACTAAAGCAGGACTAAAGGACTAAAGCAGGACTAAACCAGGACTAAAACAGGACTAAAGCAGGACTAAAGCAGGACTAAAACAGGACTAAAACAGGACTAAAGCAGGACTAAAGCAGGACTAAAACAGGACTAAAGCAGGACTAAAGCAGGACTAAAGCAGGACTAAAGCAGGACTAAAGGACAGGACTAAAGGACAGGACTAAAACAGGACTAAACAGGACTAAAGCAGGACTAAAAGGACTAAACCAGGACTAAAACAGGACTAAACAGGACTAAAACAGGACTAAAGCAGGACTAAAGGAGGACTAAAACAGGACTAAAACAGGACTAAACCAGGACTAAAGCAGGACTAAAACAGGACTAAAGCAGGACTAAACAGGACTAAAGGACTAAAACAGGACTAAAGCAGGACTAAAGCAGGACTAAACAGGACTAAAGCAGGACTAAAACAGGACTAAAACAGGACTAAAGCAGGACTAAAACAGGACTAAAGCAGGACTAAACCAGGACTAAAACAGGACTAAAACAGGACTAAAACAGGACTAAAGCAGGACTAAAGCAGGACTAAACAGGACTAAAACAGGACTAAAGCAGGACTAAAAACAGGACTAAAGCAGGACTAAAACAGGACTAAAGCAGGACTAAAGCAGGACTAAAACAGGACTAAAGCAGGACTAAAGCAGGACTAAAGCAGGACTAAACCAGGACTAAAACAGGACTAAAGCAGGACTAAACCAGGACTAAAGCAGGACTAAAACAGGACTAAAACAGGACTAAAGCTGGATTAAAGCAGGACTAAAGCAGGACTAAAACAGGACTAAAGCAGGACTAAAACAGGACTAAAACAGGACTAAAGCAGGACTAAAGCAGGACTAAAAGGACTAAACCAGGACTAAACAGGACTAAAGGACTAAAGGGACTAAAACCAGGACTAAAACAGACTAAACCAGGACTAAAAGGACAGGACTAAAACAGGACTAAAGCAGGACTAAAACAGGACTAAACAGGACTAAAAGGACTAAACCAGGACTAAAGCAGGACTAAAGCAGGACTAAAGCAGGACTAAAGCAGACTAAAAGGACTAAAACAGGACTAAAAGGACTAAACAGGACTAAACCAGGACTAAAGCAGGACTAAAACAGACTAAAGCAGACTAAACCAGGACTAAACAGGACTAAAACAGGACTAAAGCAGGACTAAAGCAGGACTAAAACAGGACTAAAGCAGGACTAAAACAGGACTAAAGCAGGACTAAAGCAGGACTAAAGCAGGACTAAAACAGGACTAAACTAAAGGACTAAAAGGACTAAAGCAGGACTAAACAACTAAAACAGGACTAAAACAGGACTAAACTAGGACTAAAACAGGACTAAACCAGGACTAAACAGGACTAAACCAGGACTAAAGCAGGACTAAACCAGGACTAAAACAGGACTAAACACTAAAACCAGACTAAACAGACTAAAGCAGGACTAAACCAGACAAACCAGGACTAAAGCCAGGAACAGGCATTCACAAACAAAGTGACTAAACCCAGAACTAAACCCGGACTTGACCTGGACTAGAACAGAACAAAAGCAAAGCAAGTCTAAATGTGGCTCAAAGCAGAACCAAAGTACGAGTTTGTGTGAATAAAACCCAAGACTAAACCAAGACTAAACCAGGACTAAACCAGGACTAGACCGGGACTAGACCTGGTTTAGACATGTGCTAGTCTTGGTTTAGGTTCCAAGGTTCCTGGTCTAGTTCAGATAAATCCCAGATGTGATCTCAGTTTGGACCCAGTATAAATGTGGTGATTGTTGATAGTGTGAACACACCCTAAACCACCCAGGACTAAACCAGACTAAACCAGACTAAACAGGACTAAACAGGACTAAACCAGACTAAACCAGACTAAACAGGACTAAACAGGACTAAACCAGACTAAACAGACTAAACCAGACTAAACCAGACTACTAAACAGACTAAACAGGACTAAACAGGACTAAACAGACTAAACAGACTAAACAGGACTAAACCAGGTCTACACCAGGTCTCGCTCCAGTCTCTCTCTTATGTAATTTGGCTCACCTTACTCCACATCCCAGAATAACCATCGACCTGGAGCCACAGTAAACACAACGACACACACACACACACACACACACGCACACACACACACACACACACACACACACACACACACACACACACACGCACACACGCACACACACACACACACACACACAGCACACACATCACACACACACACACACACACACGCACACACACACACACACACACACACACACACACACACAGGCACACGCACACACCACATTCACACACACACACACACACACACACACGCACATATATATCTGCACACACACCCCCACAGACACACACATGCACACACACATGCGCTCATGCGCACACACACACACACACACGTTCGCACACACAGCCCTCAGGCACACACACACCCACATGTACACACACACGCACACACGCACTCACACACAAACACACACGCACACACGCACACACACACACGCACACACGCACACACACGCACACACACACACACGCACAAACACACACGCACACACACACACACACACACACACACGCACACACGCACACACACACACACACACGCACAACACACGCACACACACACTCACACACAAACACACACGCACACACACAACACACGCACACACACACACAAACACACACGCACACAACACACACACACACGTTCGCACACACACAGCCTCAGCACACACACACACCCACATGTACACACACACGCACACGCACTCACACACAAACACACAAACACACAGGCACAAAAGAAAAGTAACAGTAGATCCAGATTTCAGGTGTAAATCCAGCACAAGCTCCTCTGTGTTTTTACACTCCAGCTTTTCATTTGGAAAATGTCAACACTTAAATCCACAGGATGTAACTTGATTGTTCTGTTTTGTTTTGTTTAATTGCTCTGGAACAATGTTACTGTGAGTCAGCTCGCATCTCCACAAACCCGACTCTGTTTGACCTGGAGGAGCCTCTTCCTGCTTGTTTCCATTGAAATGTTGTTCCTTTCGCTGTAATATTCCACAGTATGACATAAAACATGTGCATGGAGAATGTTCCCTAGTATGGCTTTAACTGTTGTATTTCAGTGGAATCATACAGGTGACATGTCCCCTTCCCAAAGTTACACACTGTGTCTTTAAACAGACACTGAAGATAAAACTATTGTTAAACCTCACACGAACCTGACTGTGGCGTTTACAACAGCACAGTTCACACGCCTGTGTTTCCTTTAAAGCTGCACTCTGGAACATTTCACAGCGTCTTCTCTCAGTTTAACAAACACATGATCTCAGAAAACAACAGAAAACTGAACAGACGACAAGAGCCGGACCCAAAGAGACGGAGCAGGAGACACGGACTAAAACAGGACTAAAGCAGGACTAAAGCAGGACTAAAACAGGACTAAAGCAGGACTAAAACAGGACTAAAACAGGACTACCAGGACTAAACCAGGACTACAACAGGACTAAAGCAGGACTAAAGCAGGACTAAAGAAGGACTAAAGAAGGACTAAAGCAGGACTAATCCAGGACTAATCCAGGACTAAACCAGATCTAAACCAATCCGACAGACAGGTGGTTTTGTATCCATTTGTAAGACATCTGCATATTTTGCAGACCTAACTAGGTTTAAACCAGGTCTTAACCAGTTCTAAACCAGGTCTAAACCAAGACTAAACCAGATCTCAACCAGGTCTAAACCTGGATGTCCTTCTCTTGTAGAATAGACATGTGTTTCTAACCCTGGTTTCATCTGTCATCCCCAGCATTTTGGAAACTGATTTTGCAGATCTAAAGAAGGACTAAATCCGGACTAAACCAGAACTAAACCAGGACTAAAACGGGTCTAAACCGGGTCTAAACCGGGTTTAAACCGGGTTTAGTCCGGGTCTAGTCCGGGTCTAGTCCGGGTCTAGTCCAGGTCTAGTCCGGGTCTAGTCCGGGTCTAGTCCAGGTCTAGTCCGGGTCTAGTCCGGGTCTAGTCCGGGTCTAGTCCAGGTCTAGTCAGTCTAGTCCGTCTAGTCCGGGTCTGCACACAGGTGTTTCTTACCGTGGTCTTGGTCTCCTTCACCTCCTTGACGTTCTGTCGTTTGGCTGGAGAAACTGGAGGCTGTGGAGCCAGACATGAAGGATCATCAAAGCTCTCCTCTGTGTCAAAACTCGCCTCCATCTTAATCACTACAAATACTACTGCAAATACTACAAATACCACGAGTACTACCGATACTACAAGTACTACTACTGCTGCTGCTGCTGCTCCTGCTGCTCCTGCTGCAGCGTCTGAGGAAACACAGAGATGCAACGATGAGCGAGAGAGACGAGGCACTGATGGAGGAGAGGAGGAGAGAGAGAGAGAGAGAGAGAGAGAGAGAGAGAGAGAGAGAGAGAGGGAGGAGGAGAGAGAGAGAGCACTGATGGAGGAGAAGGAGGAGGAGAGAGAGAGAGAGAGAGAGAGAGAGAGAGGGAGAGAGAGGAGGAGGAGGAGAGAGAGAGAGACGAGGCACTGATGGAGAGAGGGAGGAGAGAGAAGAGGGAGGGAGACGGAGAGAGAGGAGAAATAGGAGAGAGAAGAGACAAAGAGGAGGAGGAGAGAGAGAGAGGAGGAGAGAGGGAGGGATGAGATGAGAGAGAGGGAGGAGGGAGGGAGGGAGAGAGAGAGAGGAGAGAGGGAGGGAGGGACAAGAAGAGAGGGAGGAGAGAGAGAGAGGGAGGGGGGAGAGAGAGAAGGAGGAGGGAGGGAGAGACGAGAAGAGAGGAAGGGGAGAGAGAGGGAGAGGAGAGAGAGAGAGAGAGAGAGAGAGAGAGAGAGAGGAGGAGAGGAGGGAGGAGGAGGGAGGGAGGAAAGAGGGGAGAAAGAGGGAAAGAGAGAGGAGAGAGGGAGGGATGACAAGAGAAGGAGGAGGGAGAGAGAGAGAGAGGAGAGAGGGAGGAGAGAGAGAAGGAGGGATGAGGAGACAGGAAGGAAAGAGAGAGAGGAGGAGAGAGGGAGAGGAGGAGATAAAGAGAGGAGAGGGAGGAGAGAGAAGGGAGGGGGAAGCCAGCGAGAGAGAGAGAGGAGAAGGAGAGAGGAGGAGGGAGGGAATGATGTATGTATGTGAGAAGAAAGGGAGGAGAGAGAGAGAGAGAGGAAAGAATACAATAATAGAATCCCTTTATTATTTACCATCAATGTGATAGTACAGCCTGGAACTAAACCAGGACTAAACCAGGACTAAACCAGGACTAAACCAGGTCTAAACCAGGACTAAACCAGGTCTAAACCAGGACTAAACCAGGTCTAAACCAGGACTAAACCAGGATAAACCAGGACTAAACCAGGATTAAACCAGGTCTAAACCAGGACTAAACCAGGTCTAAACCAGGACTAAACCAGGTCTAAACCAGGACTAAACCAGGTCTAAACCAGGACTAAATCAGGACTAAAGCAGGTCTAAACCTGAACTAAACTAGGACTAAAGCAGGACTAAATTGGTCTAAAGCAGGACTAAACCAGGTCTAAATCAGGACTAAAGCAGGACTAAAGCAGGTCTAAACCAGGTCTAAACCAGGTAAACCAGAGGACTAACCAGGTCTAAACAGACTAAAGAAGACTAAACCAGGATTAAACTAGGACTAAACCAGCTAAACCAGGACTAACCAGGTCTAAACCAGGACTAAAACAGGACTAAACCAGGTCTAAACCAGGACTAAATCAGGACTAAAGCAGTCTAAACCTGAACTAAACTAGGACTAAAGCAGGACTAAATTGGTCTAAAGCAGGACTAAACCAGGTCTAAACTAAACAGGACTAAAGCAGGTCTAAACCAGGTCTAACCAGGACTAAACCTGAACTAAAACTAGGACTAAAGCAGACTAAACCAGGATTAAACCAGGACTAAACCAGGATTAAACCAGGTAAACCAGGACCAGGTCTAAACCAGGACTAAACCAGGACTAAAGCAGAACTAAACCAGGTCTAAAGCAGGACTAAACCAGGATTAAACCAGGTCTAAACCAGGACTAAACCTGAACTAAACTAGGACTAAAGCAGGACTAAACCAGGATTAAACCAGGACTAAAGCAGGACTAAACCTGAACTAAACCAGGATTAAACCAGGTCTAAACTAAACCAGGTCTAAACCAGGACTAAACCAGGACTAAAGCAGAACTAAACCAGGTCTAAAGCAGGACTAAACCAGGATTAAACCAGGATTAAACCAGGACTAAATTGGTCTAAACCGGGATTAAAACAGGACTAAAGCAAGACTAAACCAGGACTAAAGACGGATTAGGACTACAACAGGACTAGAATCGGTCCAGGACTAGGACTAGGACTTGCTGATGATTATGATGATGATGGTGATGATGATGCTGGTTATGATGATGATGATGATTATGATGATGCTAATGATGATGCTGGTTATGATGATGCTGATTGATGATGATGATGATGCTGATGCTGATGATGTGATGATGATGCTGATGATGATGCTGATGATGATGATGGTGCTGCTGCTGCTGATGATGATGCTGCTGACGATGCTGCTGCTGCTGATGCTGATGATGCTGCT